TGTGTGTGTGTGTGTGTGTGTTGGTGTTGGTGTTAAAAAAAAAAAAAAAAGGGCTGAATTTTTCACTTTGGGTGGGAAAAAGCAAGCAAGGGAAGTCTATCTACACCGTCTTCACACTGTGTAGAACGCCCGGTCACTGTACGTTGTATTTGGGCCAAATTTCAGTCTAGATACAGAAGTAATGACCGGGTGTGCGTTCTGTTCGGGTGAAGACCGCAGTCGTCTGCATCCAAGAAGATCGGGTCAAGCTGACTCGTCATCATCACCCTAGCTATGTTTTCAGGCCAATTGCAGATCATGAATCTGGTCATCTCAACTGCGTAGATGCAGATATTGCCGACGGTCAGGTCTGGTTCACGGAGATTTTGAAAGCTCAGTCGGCTTGTTCTTTTTTTTTTTTTTTTTTTTTCGTTGACGGGCAGGAGAGGAATAGTTGTCACGATTTGCAATCAAAAAAAAAAAAAGTGTACCGGAAAAGGAAAATTCAATTGCAAAAATAAAATAAAATGGCGAAGCAAATTAAATTCAGAAAAAAAATCCTAAAAAAAAAAAAAAAAACAGAGAAAAACAAAACGTAAACAAAAAAAAATCTCAGAAAAGAAACACACAGAAAACCCCAAAAAAAAAAAAAAAAAAAAATCTCAACTGAAAAAGGGAGGGCACTCGTGACTACCAGAGTGGGTAGCTGCCTCGTTTCCATGCTCAGATGACAGCACCGAGATCTGGCTATGGCGGTAAGAACGGCGATGATGAAGACGAAGGACATCAACATGATGAGGACGATGAAGGTCAGAATGGTGAAGCTGCTGCTGCTGTTGATGATGATGACGATGATGATCATGAAGATGATGATGATGGTGATGATCTTCGCAATGGATTTGATTCATCTCAAGGCTCGATATCGCTAATGCCATGAAAGGAAATCTGGCGGAAGCAATCAAACGTTGGGAAAGATCAACGGCCAGGATGCGTCCGCTGCAAAGCCTCATCATCATGCAAAGTTTTTCTTGGGTGTATTTGTGTGTGTGAGAGAGAGAGGGAGACGGGTGTGAGAGGTGTGTGTGTGTTTGTGTGTGCGAGCGAGACACAGAGGCGGGTGTGAGACGTGTGTATGTGTGTGTGTGTGTGTGTGTGTGTGTGTGTGTGTGTGTGTGTGTGTGTGTGTGAGGGGTGTGTGTG